GCACCTCGACGTCATTGGCGGCAGTTGGCAGCGGGAAGAGGGTCTCGAGCTGCTAAAGCAAGACCTGTGCATGGGTCAGCTCGTTGGCACGATGCTGCTGGACCAGCTGGCGAGCCTCGTGCTCAATCATGGCCTCGTGCGCCGCCTTCTCTGCACGTTCGGAGCGGCGTTGGGCACGCTCGACGAACGCCCGCTGCCTCGCAAGGCGCACCTCTGGGGTCCTGGCCACCATGATCATTGTCATCAGGACTGAGCATTCCTGCTCCTGCGCCTCTAGGATGCTGGTCGGCAGGCCGAGCTCGCGGGACGCGCGAAGCATCTTTGCCGACGCCACTGCCACGCGGCGGAGGTTGCGCCTGTGTTTGACCAAGGCAGCAGGATCTGTCGGTGGCTGCACCAAGGCCGGGTGCGCACGCGCCTGCCCTGGCAAAGCAGGGAGCACACCAAGCGCCTCCTGCGGTCCTGTTGGACGATCCGCCGTCTCCTCAGTCGACACGGCCTCACTCTCATCGAACGTGACGTCAGTAGCTGGCGAGCGACGGCGGGATGACTGGCGTCGGGAGGGCACCTCTGGGGCTGGTTCCTCCGCAGGCTCGCCATCTCGCTGCTGAGGGTGGGCAGGCGGCGGAGCACGGCTCGGGCTGCGCTGACGGCTGGGGCGAGCGCTGCTGTGCGCCGGCCTTGAGGTACGCCTCCGCCTCCGCTGGTCACGTCCACTTCCTCCGTGTTGATCTCGCCCGCTGCCCGCTGCTGCATGCTGCTGCTGCTGCTGCTGCTGCTGCGGCCCGCTGCCTGCATGCTGCTGCTGGTGCTGCGGCTGGTCGCGGAACACGCTGAACGCCGCGGGACTCTGCTGCGGGAGCGGGCAGCAGGTCCTGCACATCAGGTCGCTGGCGGCATTGGGCGTGCCCGCATGCTGGACACCACCAGGGCGGGGGCGGCGGGGACGGCGGGGACCGACCGCCCTTTCCTCCGCCTTTGCCTCTGGCCTGCCACGCCATGGCGCTGCGGTGCGTTGCGAGACACTTCGCGGCACTCACCAGACGCAGCACCAGTCGGGCCTGTGCACGTTGTTGACGGGCACGCCTGTGCCAAGCCGGCTCGCTGCCGCCTCCGCTGGGGTGCTGGCGCGGCGTGCCGCCAGCAGGAGGGCGCCGCCGCGAGCAGCGCGAGAGGCACGCCGGGAGCAGGCCCGCCGCGGGCAGCGCGAGCGGCGGCGCGGCGGGGCCCGCGCGCCCGATGCGCGGGCGCGGACCGGCGCGCGTGGATGCCAGCCCCGAGAGAGGTTCGCCGTACCTGGTACGGCGCCCGAAACCTCTCGAACCGGGGCGGCAGCTGAGGGGGGGATATAATATATATATATATAGAGAGAGAGAGAGGGAGGATGAACGAGGAGAAACGGGCGGATGGGGAAGAAGCGAAGAAGGAGGTGGAGGAGGAGGAGGAGGAGGAGGAGAAGCGGGCGAACAGAAGGGCAAGCCTCGTCAAAATTGGATTGACACGCCGCGCAAAATCGAAGCGCCCGATAGTTCGGGCGCTTGTCAGAACACGCGTTCTTCAAAGCTGTGGGGGCACTGTTGGGTTTCGGACAACCCTGCGTGCGGGCCAAACACCTCGTGCCAGCATTGCAGTAGCGCCGACCGCGTAAGCACCCAAAACAAAAACCGTCAGCTTATGTTTGACGAGTCTTGTAGGCGAGAGTGACCTTTGGTGCGCGGCTTGGGGGGGGCGCGAGGGAGCCAAACTCAAGCGAGCAAGCCGCTTCAAGCCAGTGCTAGGGGCACCCCTGTGGGCCCGCACCAAAGGTCACTCCAGAGAAGGGTCACTCTTACGCATACCCGAACATGGCAGGCCGAGCTGCCTTGTCAGCGCGCCGTCAGGTGAGCGACTAACCAGCCTAAATCGCATCCCTACCCGTAAGATTGACAAGCCCGAACGCCATGACAAGCCGAGGGATACGCCGTCAGAAACTGAGAGAACCCTTAAGATCGGCATCGAGACCAGGTGAGTCCAGTCATAGAAGCAGGGATATGTCCCAAGCTGGTAAGTTTAGAGTTGGGGGGAGTAGGCCGCGAGCAGGCCTGCCCCGAGGGCGCGGGTTGCATCGTGAGGCCACGAGTGCAACCCCCCCCCTTCTTTCACTATCGACGAGCATACGGCGAGGGCATTGGATAAAGAACCATTGCATAACGAACTCAGGGTCTGGAAGCGGGTGGAAGTCCAACTGAGGCTTGGCCACGGATTCCACCGCCGCCCTCCTCAGCTAAGGAATCCTCCAGGCTCAGCCAATTCCCGCAACGTATCCATACTCGAGCCTCCTCGAGCCTCCTCGAGCCTTTTCCTCCTCCTCCTCCTCCTCCTCCTCGTCCTCCTCCTCCTCCTCCTCCTCCTCCTCCTCCTCCTCCTCTTCCTCCTCCTCCTCCTCCTCCTCCTCCTCCTCCTCCTCCTCCTCCTCCTCCTCCTCCTCCTCCCTCCTCCTCCTCCTCCTCCTCCTCCTCCTCCTCCTCCTCCTCCTCCTCCTCCTCCTCCTCCTCCTCCTCCTCCTCCTCCTCTCCTCTCCTCCTCCTCCTCCTCCTCCTCCTCCTCCTCCTCTACTCCTCCTCCTCCTCCTCCTCCTCCTCCTCCTCCTCCTCCTCCTCCTCCTCCTCCCCTCCTCCTCCCTCCTCCTCCTCCTCCTCCTCCTCCTCCTCCTCCTCCTCCTCCTCCTCCTCCTCCTCCTCCTCCTCCTCCTCCTCCTCCTCCTCCTCCTCCTCCTCCTCCTCCTCCTCCTCCTCCTCCTCCTCATCCTCCTCCCCTCCTCCTCCTCCTCCTCCTCCTCCTCCTCCTCCTCCTCCTCCTCCTCCTCCTCCTCCTCCTCCTCCTCCTCCTCCTCCTCCTCCTCCTCCTCCTCCTCCCCTCCTCCTCCTCCTCCTCCTCCTCCTCCTCCTCCTCCCTCTCCTTGATCCCATGGATGCGCGATCAGGCAGGGCACCTGCGCAGAGCCACCCTCTTCGTTCACGGGGCCGCGACCGCAGAGCTCGCACCGCGAGGCCCATGGGTCTGGACATGAGCGCGCGGAGAATTCTCGACGCCAGCCGGAAATCGAGTAGGGGCTCGACGACGGAGTTGATTTGCCCCAGCACTGACTGTCCCTCCGAATCTACGAACAAATACGAATCATGTCCCGTCGATCAAGGAGCGTTCTACGCGTTGCTTGTATATCCGGCGGAGAAATCAATCCTGGAGTAAATCAATTCTGCAGCCGATCCCCTGTTCGAGGTATAAGGCCTCGGCGTGCGCACGGGCAGCCCCCCCAGGTAGCCCTGGAGTTGGCCTCAGCAGGCCCCCTGACCGAATAGCCCCAGCTGGCCTCGACAAGCCCCTCAGAGATCCTCAGAACGTGTGTTAGCGCCAACGTGTGCTGGTCCATCGAAGCCCTTCAATACGACGCACGTGGCGTAACGATGGCCGACACAGGCCGAACGGGGTTAACACACATTGAGCTGACACACGTCCTGAGGATCATCGAGTAGTCCGAGGCGGTCTCAACACCCTTGCGCCGCCTCCGGCGGCGCCCCTGGGGCGCTCCGCGCCCCAGGGGCCCCAAGTGACTACTCGGAGGTGCCTCAACAGGCCCCCTGATCAGCCCCAGCTGGCCTCTACAAGCCCCTCAGAGCAGTCCGAGGAGGTCTCAACACCCTTGCGCCGCCTCTGGTGGTGCCCCTGGGGCGCTCCGCGCCCCAGGGTTCCGGTGGTGAGACCGCCCCGGACTACTCGGGGGGGGGCCTGCTGAGGCCAGCTGAGGCCACTCCGGGGGCCTGTTGAGACCAGCTGGGGCACCCTCCGGGGTGGGCTTTCCGTGCACAGGCTGGAGCCTCATCGGCTGGCGTCATTCGCAGGAGCGAGAGCGGAGCACACGAGGCTTTCCGCGGCCCCTCTGGGGCCCCGAGTGTGCGTGGAGCCACCGCGTTCCCCAGACACACCGACCGCAGCCGCTCTATCTGAATCAAATCGACCGAAGTTTGGGCCAGCGTCCATACTTCAAATAGCTCAAAGACTACAAAATTGGATTACCTACGAATTGAAAATGCAAAGTAAAATTTTACTTGATTTTTAAATTTGCAGGGGGGGAGCTTGAAAAGGCTGAAGTTAGCTGGCGAAGTGAGAGAGCCGAGTGTCTTGATGTGTTGATGTGTTTGGTACTTCCAGCCCCGACCCTTTACCAAGGGCAGGCTTTTCATCATGACGCAATTTATTGACAGTCCCAGGGCCCGAAAAGGGTCCTAAGATGCCGAAAACCGTTCGAAACCTCCGTCCCGATTTGTTCCAGACGTTGGACGTATGGGTTTCTGCCCCCCGCCCTCTGGCTACTGACCCTGGCCCAGATCCAGCAGCATCGGATCGGGACGTCGGATGAAATCGGCGCGTGCGTTGGGCCGGGCCGCACCGGCACAGAGCCGAAGCCAAATCGGATCGGTCGTGCCAAGGGCGCACAGCAGCACCATGAATGCATCGGGCCGCGTCGGATCGTCGGGACATCGAGATCGAACCGGACCCGGCCAGCCCGAACCGACATCCAGTCGGAACGATCGGATCAAAATGGACCCTGTGACCTCGGCCTTCGGCTCATAAAGCCGGGCCTCGCGCGACCGTTGGAGCCGATGCGCGCTCCTGCGGAACGCCCTCGGCGAGGCGCGCCTGCTGGATCGCATCCCGAAGCTGGAACACTCGGCCAGAACAGATCTCGAACCTTCTGTGGCAACTCGTGGAGGCTCCCATGCCATCTTGCTGCTGGCTCGTGCGAATCGACGCTACCTGGCGCTGAGTCAACGCGAATCGGCGCTGAGTCCGCCCCCCGTCCTCATCGGCTACCAGACGATAACGCCCGCTGACATGCGTGAATGCGCTCTCAGAACGAAAAGTTGCGAGCACATACGCGGCTCCCGTGAGTTGCTGCAGAGCCCACCAGATCGATCGGATCGAGATCGGCCCTGCCAGTGCGGACCCGTGGCCCCTCCTTCCCGCGCGCTGGCGCGGCCGCGGATCGCGGATGCCGTGTGGAGCTCCAGCGCACAGGCGGCCCAGGTGATCTCCGTTTCCTCGGGAGTCCTTCGGGCTCCCGAGGTCCTCAGGACTCCTTCGGCACTCCATGGGAATCCTGAGGAAACCCGGAGGACCCCTGAACAGGCCTCAGGATCCCCGCCCAGACGAGGAAGGACACGTGCGCCCCCCTTTGAAGCGCAACGCCCGAACCGAACGTGCAGCACAACCCTCTCGCAGCACGCCGTCCTCCAGGCGACACGGCCCCCCGTGAAGAGCGCCCACCACCGAGGCCGCACCATCGGACTCCGACGAGCGCGCGCGGCGCCCCCCCGGGGGGCCGACGCACACGCGTGACAGTGGTATGCGCTCGAGTGGCGCCGCCCTGAGGGCCTCCCGGGGGCGCCCCGGGCGCATCCCCGGGACTCTCGAGGAGATCCTCTGGGATCCCGCGGGCCGAGGCACCCCGCCGCCCCGCCGGCCCTCGGACATGCGGCCTCCGAGGGCCGCCGCGGCGTGCCGGCCGCGGCCACGAGGCGTGGAGCCCCCGGACGCCGAGGACCTGCAAGGACGGCTCGTGCCAGGGCTCGAGCGAGCCAAACGAGGTTTCTCGTCTTCGTTTTCCTTCGTTCTGTCTTCGTTCTGCCCTTCCTGCGGAGCGAAAGGAAAGCGAAGACGGTCCACGACATCGCCAAAACACCGTTTAGCTCGAGCCCTGGTTTTGATCCCCGGAGTGGTTCTCGTCGGCTTCCCAGCCTCGGGATGCTCTCCAGCAGCTGCGCCTCGCCGAGGGCGTTCCGGGGTTGCCCGACATCGCCCCGAGCGGGGCCGACGCGGGCCAGAAAGTCATGGCCCGAGAAACACCTGGGGACCTGCAACAAACAATCCTCGATGCCACTCCGCCGCCGCTCGGGGAGGACGAAGGGGGAACTAAGGGACGCACAGAGACACACTAACGCTATACGTCATCCCGGGAGGCGCGCGTCCGACCAGAACATACAGTAGACCCATCTTCTGGTATATCGTTTCCCGAGCGGCGTGGCCAGAAAGCGCCCGCAACGACGCATATACTATAAGATGCCTCGGCGCGCGCGCGTCGCCCCTGGTGGGGGCGACGCGCACATAGTATTAGCGTGTTGGGGTGCCGCCGAAATTAGTCGAGGGTGGGCCAGCGAAGCAGCAAGCACAGCTGAGCTTTCCGGCGCCGCCCAACGCTGGAGGCGCCAGTGCATCGAGGAAGGCGCCCTCAGCGGCGGGGCCGAAGCCGGCCGCGCGCAGCAGGCTTCGCACCCCCCCCCCGAAGCTCGACCGACCCGATCTGGGCGTCGCATCAAGATCACGCCAGCAAACCTTGAGCGCTTCGGGATCCTGCCCAGTCATCCGGCGTCTCGGCTTTTTCGAGACACGGGCCCCCCCACCGACCTCTCGAACAATTCCCCGGGACCAGTGTTCCTCCCCGGTCGTTTGTTCACAGTCCCGAGGCCCAGCAAGGGTCCCGAGAGGCCGAAAACTGTGTCACGTCTCCGCCTCGATGTCTTCAGGACGCCGGATGTCTGGGAAGCCAGCCCTGGGGCAAGGGTCGGGATCCCCAGAGGCCAGGTTCACGAAAAGAATGCGGCGCTGGAGAGACGAGGGCCTGGCCCCGGAGATCGGGCCATCCGGGCGCGTCTTGGACACCTTCGGACCTCTGTCGCGGTGCTCGGGCCTCCTGGGACCTCCCTGGGTACAGCTGCTGCTCCCGACTTCGCAATAAAAGGGGGGGGCCTGATTTGAGCTGTCTTGGAGGGTTCCGATGGGTCTGGGCATCAGGCCGCCCTTTCATGGCTTGTCTGCTGGGGGCGTCTAAGATTGCCCGTCTGGGAGGGTTGTGGCCCCCTCCCTTTTATTACGACATCTGGAATGCAGGTTTCAGAGAAAGTCTCGAGCCGGATCGATCTGTACAGGCACCAGGGCCCGATTCTGTGCGAAAGCGTCCAGTACGAGAAGACTGCGACTCCAGGGTCTTAGGGTGGATACGTACGACACTAAATCACGCTACATGAGATAGATAGGCGCACTTGTCGCCGATCTGGCCAACTGCGGAGGCTGCCCCAATCATGTGGGCCCTCCAGCCCATCGGGAAATCAGACCTTTCCGTGCGGCACCAGCCTGCATGCTGGTTTCCTAATCAAAATGACTGATTACCCAGACGTCCGACACCTTGGCTTGTTCAAAATGAGGGATCCCTGGAACTCTTGGCCCTTTCCGAAGGGCAGATCGTTCCTCCCGAGGCGCCTTCTGACAGTCCCACAGCTGAGCGCGGCCCCCGCAAACCAGAAAAAAGTGTAAGCAACAAATGTTGTTATTCTCGACGATGGACCCCTTATTACCCACCAGCCCTGGGCGGTCTTCGGCGGTCTTCCGGCGCCATTCTGGCGGTCTTCGGCGGCCTTTGGCGGTTTCCTGACGGTCTTCGGCGGATTTCGCCAGTTTCCCGCGGTTTTCGGGGCGAAAGCTGAACGGCCGCGGTTAACAAAGGGTCCATGCTCGAACACCGAAGATAGAGGAACAGGGAATCGCACAAACGCTCTTTGAGGTGCGTGCAGATGTCTTGGATCGGCGCTGGGCTCCCCCTCCCCGGCGAGCGAAGCGAGCCAGGGGCGGCGCCGGAGGGCCCCGTGCCCATCTGAGAAATCCGCGCGAGCCTCCGAGAGGTGATGTCTGTGCCGCTTTCTGCTCTTCGAGTCCGGGTGCTGGATGTCTGGGCACTGTACGGTCGGGAACGTGTGCTTAGCATGTCGCGGCGGCGGCCCCAACGGCACCGCGACGTCCTGCCAGCGGGAAGCTCATCGCTCCGCCCTGCTGGGCGGGGCACTGGGCACGGCTCGGGACGCTGACGCTTGGGGATGGAGGCGTGGATGGCGTGTCGCGCCGAGGCGTGTGGGCCAGAACGGGCGGAGCGACACGCGGAACCAAAGTTCCTGACCGTACCGCCGCATTGGACTTCTGGACGCTGTAAAGCCTACCCCGTCGGCGCGCTCCCGGCGGGCCGCGCGCGCCAGTCGTCGGCCCCCTCAGTCCTTCTACGACACGCCCGGCCCCGCAGCAGGGCCGGGACCCCTGGCAGGGCACGGTCGGGGCGACTGGCTGGCCAGATCTGCACCGCCGCCGTCCCCTGAGATCTGGGCGTGGAACCTCTGTCGAGCCGGGCGCCGGTGTTGTCGAGCTGGGCGTTCTCGCAGGACTCCGGGCCCGGGACCCCGACAGGATGCGCCCGACTCGTGGACCCCATCGGCGATCCGTGGGCGAAATGGTGGGCCGAGGCGCCCCTCCCTGAGCCCGCCCCTCCCTTGCACTGCCCCTTGGCCTCCGTGTCACAACTCGCGGGAAGAACCCAAGCACCTGTGGACTCCTCCTCCTCCTCCTCCTCCTCCTCCTCCTCCTCCTCCTCCTTCTCCTCCTCCTCCTCCTCATCCTCCTCCTCCTCCTCCTCTGGCCGCCGTGCGGGACGGCCGAAAAGCACCTCCGGGCGCCTCCCGGCAAAGGCGCAGCCGCGGGCGAGCGGCCCGAGGCGGGCAGACCGCCGCAGGAATGGGGTCCGGGGCCCGCGGTGCTGAGGTCTCGCGAGGCCGCGCTGCTGCGCGCAGCGTCGGACCTCTGGGCCCCGCTGCCCTCTCCATGCCTCTCTCTTTGTTTTTCTCTCTCTCTCTCTCTCTTTTTTCTCTCTCTCTCTCTCTCTCTCCCTCTCTCTCTCTCTCTCTCTCTCTCTCTCTATTTCTCTCTATAAATATTTCTCTCTATTTCTCTTTCTCTTTCTCTCTCTCTCTCTCTCTCTCTCTCCAACGAGGGCCTGGCGGCGAGCTCTTCGCACCAGGCGTCTTCGCCCGGGCCCGGACACAGTGTGGCCCGGGCGGGTCGACCCGGCTGGAAGAACGCCACAGAAGAGTGGGGTCTAGGGCTCTGGTCGTCAGGTCTCATGGTGCCGCAATTTGTCGTGACGTCGGCCCTGAGGGCTTCTCCGCCACAGGGCCCGCGGGGGGCGGCCGCCAAACGCCGGGCGCCTCCCACCCGCATGCTGAATCGTCCTCCCTGAAAGAAACAAACAACAAAAGCAACAACAACAACATCAACAACAACAACAACAACAGCGACAGCGACAGCGACAGCGACAGCGACAATAACAACAACAACGACAACAACAACGATGACAATGAAAAAACAACAACAAACACAACAACAACAACAACAACAACAACAACAACAACAACAACAGCAACAACAACAACAACAACAACATCAACAACAACAATCACAACCACAACCACAACCACAACCACAACCACAACCACAACAACAACAACAACAACAACAACAACAACAACAACAACTACTACAATAACAACAACAACAACTACAGCAACAACAACAGCAACCACAACAACACCAACACCAACACCAACACCAACAAGAACAACATCAAACGAAAAGCCATCCGTCGCGATGCATTCACGGCTCGAGGGAGTCAGGGTCTGAAACGGCCCCCCCCAGGCGGCAGCAGCGAAGGCACCGCCTTCACGCCCCCGGGGTGTTGGCGGCGCGCACAAGCAAAGCGGCCGCGACAGATCCCAGAAGTGGAGGCAAGATCGGTGGCGACCCGTCTCGTCGGCCGCGACCGAAGCAATCCAGTTCCCAGCGACCAGAGCTAAAGGAAAATCAAGTCTTCGCGGCACGCACACGGGGGGATCTGCTTGCGCTTCAATTTACCTCGAGTTGAGTTGCCTCCTCGGTTGTTTGGCCACTGCACGGTTCGCCTGGGATTCGCAGTTTCTCCTTCACACCACCCATCGCTGCATTTGACAATGTGCACGGGTTGTGTACTGTGCCTTCGACGATGCCCGATCGCAATTGGCACTTACATCTGCCGCCCGCTCCTGAGAATCCTCTGCGCCGCCGACTTTTAAAAGAAGGAGGGTATAGGGGGAGGGGGGAAGGCTTCTCAGAAGGGGGCTGCTTCTCAGAAGGCGCCAGCCTCACAGCTGCAGACAGGGCCCGCACCTTCTAGGAAGCAGGGGCGCTTCTGAGAAGCCTCTCCCCCCTCTCCCTGCCCCCCCTCCCAGACCCGCGACGTCGTGACTTTTTCACAACCCCGATTCCCAAAGGTCTGAACCCCCTTCCACTGGACCGGTTCTTCATCCTGAGTCGTTTTTTGACGGCCCCGAGGACCGGGAAAGGCCCCGGGAGGCCGAACGTGGCGAGAACAAAAAAAAACAAAACAAAAACAAAAAAAAACAAGAAGCAAAAAAAAAAAAAAAAACGCGTCGTGACTTTTGCTCTTCCCGGCGCGAGGAGGTCCGGAAGCCTCTCCCCCCTCCCCCTGCCCCCCCCCTTCTGCCCAGAGATCCGATGTCGTGATTTTTTCAATACGGGGTCCCCGGAAGTCTCGACCCCTTCCCCAGGACCGGCTTTTCATCCTGAGCCGTTTTTCGACGGTCCCGGGGCCCGGCGAGGGCCGCCAGAGGCCGCAAGCCCAGAAAGACCTCCGCCCTGCTTTTGTTCCCAAGAACGTCGGAGGTCCGGGTGCGCGCGGCCGCGGGCGGCAGCAGCGACGGGGCGCCGCCTTCACGCCTCCGGGGGCTCTCGGGCGCGCTCCTCGTTCTGGCGGTCGCGCTTCGGCGGCCGGCGGTCGCGCTCCGCCCTCGTCCGGCCGTCGGCCTGGATCTCCTGCGGGCAGGGGCGCAGCGCCTCCCCGGACCGCCTCGAGCAGTGGAAGCAGCACGGCGCGAGGCGTTTCGCCACCCCTCTTCCCCCTTCTCCTCCTCCTCCTCCTCCTCCTCCTCCTCCTCCTCTTCCTCCTCCTCCTCCTCCTCCTCCTTCTC